GATCAGTGATCGTGGTACACATTTTTTTAATCGTATACTCGGGAGTGTTTTGAAGAATATGGTGTCACTCATAAAGTTTCCACAGCATACCACCCACAAACAAATGGACAAGCTGAGGTGAGCAAATCGACAATCAAGGGCATTTTGGAGAAAACCGTGAATACAAGGAAAGATTGGAGTACACGCCTTGATGATGCTTTGTGGGCGTACCGCACTGCATACAAAACTCCAATTGGAATGTCGCCATATCGTATTGTTTATGGAAAGCCGTGTCGATTACCCGTTGAGTTGGAACATAGGGCATATTGGGCAGTCAAGCAGTTCAACATGGATTTAAGTGATCGGGTAAGAGAGGAAGCTGGACATACAAGAATTGGAAGAAATCCGCAATGAAGCGTATGAGAATGAGGTTCTTTATAAGGAAAAGACTAGAGCATTCCATGACAAGATGATTACACGCAAGGTATTCACAAAGGTCAAAAGGTACTACTTTAACCATTCGCGTTTAAATTGATTCCTGGAAAATTAAGGTCCGTTGGTGGGACCATTTGTTGTCACTAATGTTTTTGAGCATGGTGCAATAGAAATCACAAGTGAGAAAACCGGGAAGATTTTTAAGGTAAATGGTCACCGTTTGAAGCCTTATTATGAAGGATTTCAAGTCAAGAATGAAGAGGTGGAGGAAGTAATGGATCCAAAGTATGAAAATTGACAAATAGTTGGGGTCCAAGTCGAGCCAACGACATTAAAAAGGGGCGGCTAACCGGGAGGCAACCGGGGGTATTTTTGTCATTTAGTATATTTTCATTGTATTTCTTTGTTTTCAAACTTCCAAGTTGTTTTTCATGCTAAAAAAGGGTTAAAAATCATTTTTCGGGCAGTAGAGGTTTAGCGGGTTGCATTTTCAAAAAGTGAAAAAAAAAATCAAGTTTTTTGGCTTTCTCAGAAGTTTACACGGCCGTGTAAACTTATGCCTTGCATGTACACGGGCCGTGTAAACAATTGAACAGTTTTTATGATTCAGGGATTTACACGGCCGTGTAAACCCTCCCCTTTGATTTACACGGGCCGTGTAAACGCAAAAACAGGGCTGAACGATTTTAAGGTCAAATCTCGATTTTTCTAACTTCATTTCTTCACTCAAACCTGCGATTCCCTCTCTCCCTACTGCCCCCTTTCGAAAAAAAACCCTTCCAAATACTCAATCTTCCTCAATTTTGCATCAAAATCAAGCTCCAAGGTATGAAATTCCTCCCTTTTCTTCATCTTCTTTATCTTCCACATCTATACCTTCTCCCATGGCCGATTTTGGGTTTTTTTTAACAAAACCCTAGAATTTTTTTAACTTCAAATCTCAACCTAATGTTTCAAATTTCTTGTAGGATAAGCTTGGGGATAGCTTGGGGAAGCATTGGATATCATCTTATCACCATTATCAAGCACAATTGGTATAATTGTTCCAAACTCTTACTTTGTGCATTTAGATAGAACACATTCCTTTTTTTTGGTGTTTTTGGTTGAAACTTGCTAGTTCTTGTACTTCAATTGTCTTAATTGTGTGCAATATTTTGTTGATTCATTTGGGTTATGGCTTCCCGGGGTAAAAGACATAGAGTTGGCACTTCACATGATGAACAAGACCCACATGCCATAGACAACCCCTATGAATTTGGTCTTTTTTTAGAACAATCGACAGGAAATCTTGTATGCAAATCTTGTTACAAGAACAATGGGTGCTCAAAAATTTGTGGACATCCAGGCCCTCAAAGATTTACACATATACAAGGGTGTTCACAAGCTTTTTAAAAACATAGGATGGGAGGGTTTTTGAATCTTCATGCAGTTAGTTACCAAACACCGATGTTGGAACTTTTGTCTTCCATTTCCTTTGACTATCAAACCCATCTCCTAACTTTCCGTCTGCTCAACCAAACGCATCAATTTCATGCTGATATCCTTTGTGATATAATTGGTGCTCCTAAAGCAAGAAGGGATATATACACAGCTAAGGGTAGAAAAAATGTTGTTTTTGAGCAAGACTGCGCAAATTTTTTGGAGAAACATCTCTTGTGAGTATGAGTATCAATCGGCACCGCAAAGCTTCTAGCATTATCCATCCGGTCTTGAAAGTAGCTCACCGGATCATTGCTTCTCTCTTATTCCCTCAAGAAGAGATTAGCAAGCTAAAAAAAGAGCTAGAAGTCTTGTGGTGTATGATTAACAAGCCTGCAGAAGTCCCTCATTTTGGTTGTTGGGTTATTCAAAAAATGCTCAGAAGTGCTACGAGCAATGGTGGACAGCTACATTGTGGAGGCATGGTTTCTATTATTGCAGAGCATCTTGGCCTCCATCTACCTAATAACCCAACAAACATCATCATGGGCCGTACTCGTCTATCAATTGATGTTATGGAAACAATGCATCTTTTCCACGCCTTCCCACTGGGGATATTCATTGGACAGTAGATGGGAAAGAGTATCTACGTATAGACAGCAGAAATAAGAAGATACTCAATTTAGCCAATGATATTCCATCAACTAATTGGAAACTCAGATCCAACTTAGGTGTTACAGTAGATCATTAGTCCTCCATCCTCTCCTCCTCCTGCTCCTCCTGCTGGTGCTTCTAGTTCCTCTCGCTATTCCTTTTTCTGAACATAATCTTTATATGGGCGAGTTTGCGCGTTTGAATCATCGTTACACCAGTCTACAACAGGAAATCGGGGACATTTATACGGGTGTCGCTGAAATCACTTCTGATTTTCAGGACTACCGTAACTTACAGGAAGAGCATTGGGCCCAACAAGAGTTGCGGTGGGCTGAGCAAGATCAAAGATGGGCTACTCAAGAGGCAGCACAACCGCAACATTCACCATCTGCTGAGTGATATCCATAGAGTTCTTGTGCTCCCCACACAGTCGCAGCAGCCATCAGCATCCCAACCCCAATGACCTCCCTACTATCCTACAGATTACCCTTCACAGTTCCCTCCATATCCTCCACCTGGTTCTCAATAGGACGGTTGCGCCTCTCTTCAAGCATCGAGGACGATGCTATATTTTAAGCTTGGGGAGGGGTATCCATCCATTGCATTATCCCGTTGCATGTAGGTTGCATGTAGTTTTGTACATATTGCATTAATTTCATTTCATTTCTTTTTCATTTTTTTTCTGCATGGAAAATTTTTCAAAACCAAAAAGATTTCTTTCTATTCTAATTTTTATTATATTCTTTGCATCTAAATTTTTGCATTGCATTCATTGCATAATTAAAAAAATAAATAAATAAATAAATTAAAAAAAAAACGATCCAATCCCAAGCAACCGAATCTTTTCAAAACAGTTGAGCAGGTAAATGAGTCATGTGCCTTGAAATTGGCTTGCTTTTCTTATTGAAAAAAATCTAAAAGCAAGTTAATCACACACGAGCACATCTCCCGAAGCTACTTGTGCAAAACAGAAAATGAGAAGATTGTCAACACTGGAGCATAACAGCAGGTATGAGTCGATTCTTTGGGACATATGACCGGTCTTATGAGTAGTAATGCTCAATTGAACTTAAAATGTCAAATTCAAAAGTTCATAAAAAGAATGCAAAATCTCAATGTCCCGCCTTCCAGCGCTCTTAAAAGTTCTTTCTACTTATTCCCTTTTATTATATACCCTGCTTGAGGACATAGCTTTCAACTATACTTACGGGTTTTTGCATGTTAACATTTAATCCCTCGAAAAATGTCCAGAAGTCCTCACGGTAATAGACCGTGAGATGTCCCACAATAGAAAAGTCAAGGACGGAAATATAAGGAAATTGGCCAAATAAACAAATTAATAAGAGTGTTATGTGTTAACTTAGTTATTTGTATATGTGTTATATTAAAAAAAAAAAAAAAAAAAAAAAAAAAAAAAAAAAAACTATTATTAAGTTAATCTGTGACCTTTGGGATTCGAACAAGTAAACTCTGAGGGGTGTTCTACACCTAATCACCTAAAGCTAAATTGTTTGGGATTGATTGGGTTGAAAGTTCGCTATATACGGGTTCCATAGAAAGTCATGAACTTAATAATAGTAAATAAAGCTAATCTGTGGCCTTTGAGGTTCGGGCAAGTAAACCCGAGGGATCTCTTTAAATCTAGCACACTAAGGTCATTTGATTTGGATGTGTTGGTTGAAAGCCTGCTACACGGATTTCAAAGAAAGCCATGAGCTTTATTTATTAAAAAAAAAATGTGTAATTAGAAAGTTTGTACATAGTTGTGTTTATAGTTTAATTAGATGTTGTGTTTAGGAAAAATAAATGGCTGTCAAAAGATTCCCTTGGACTTGGATTTGAATTTATGACATTGGACTGAATGTTAATTACTTCAACTGGTGTAAGTGGTTTGAAGTTTGTAACCAATCTAGATAAATATTAGGGAATTTTTAGAAAATATTTTTCAGAAAAAGATTGTTGTTGACCAACAAATAGCTGGAATCGAACATTGTTATATTTTATGAAACAAAGATGGTTGAGCATGTTTTGTCATATATAATTTCACGAGAGTAAGACCATAATTTTTCCAAGAATTGACTTGATAATATTGAAAAGGAATAAGTGTTGTGATCTTTAATTCTGTTGAGTTGTACTAGGGAGTGGCCAAAGTCTTGTTTCTATTATCATTTAATATTGTGAGACTAAAGCAAAGTTAACTCGAGGCATGACAGGTACATTCTCAACTATGGTACAAAACAGGGTAATTGGGTTGGATCATTTCATGTTTGTTTTGATTTCATGCATTAAGTTTCAAATAGTTTTAACTTTAATTTTCTTTTCTTCTATTCTATTTTTATTTCCTCCAGTTTAAATCTTCTTGTTCTTTCTTGAGGACAAGAAAGGTTTAAGCTTGGGGAGATTTGTTAGGTGCATTTCATGCATTCATTTTTTATAGTTTTAGTTCATAAAAGTGCATTACATTTAGGTTTAGACTCATGCATTTTGTATAATTTCGGGATTTTTCATGATGCAATTCCATTCACACGCTTTTAGAATATTTCAGGGACTTATGAAGGTTGGATTTTGGAGGAAGTTATCAAGAGTTGGATACAAAGTTGTAGAAGTTTTGGAGCTTTGAAGAGAGAGAATGAAGAAATGAAGAATTTGGTTTCACAGGAGTTTACACGGCCGTGTAAATTTATGCCTTTGATTTACACGGGCTGTGTAAACGTATATACAAGGACATTCTACTTCGAAGACCTGGAAGACTTAAGCATTCTACTTTTCTTGTTTACACGGCCGTGTAAATGGAACCCTTTTTACACGGGCCGTGTAAACGTCTCGGCAGTTTTAAAGTGGTTTTGTCTTCTTATAATTCAGACAATCAGTTTTTATGGGAGTTAGGTCGGATTTTGGGAAGGAGAAGAGAGATTTTCAGAGCTTTTGCAAGTAGATTAACACTTGGAAAACACTTTAATTTCTTTTTGTAAGTCAATTTGAAGTTTAAACTTGTTGATTTGTAGTCCAACCTAGATATGTGTGGTTGATTTTATTATCATTTCCGAATCTGAATTCTTAAGTATGTGTTGTTAGATGTAACTTGAATTTGACTTATGTTTAACATCTAGTAATCTTTGATTTGATCTTAATCATGTGTTTGATTAGTTCTCTTTTTCACTTGATCAATGAACTAGGGTTCTATTCAATCTAGTTAATCAAATCATGAAATTCGTATATGTTTTATGATTTGATGTTAGTAACACTCACTTATTTGGTTGTAATTAGATCAAAATTAGTGCAATCAAAGATTAAATGTTTATATTCCCAAGCTTAAGAGGAATGTTAAACATTGTTGGTAATTAGTGCAAGAACTTAATGTCATTTAATGATTTAATGCAAGAGCTTATTTGGGTTGAATCAAATAAATGAAATTTTATTTAAAGAGCTTATTTTGAATAGAATACTTTTGCCAATTTGGATATTAGAGTTTATTAATATCCAACTTACTAACCTAGATTGAACATGAGTTATAATCATATTACATCTTTCAACATAGTACATATATAAGAGTCAGAATCGGAAATGTACTTCTTTTACTGCGTTTGTTTTCAATCTTTCTTATTTATGAAGTTTAATTCAAGTTTAAATACAAACCCCCATTTAAATATTACTTGTATTATGTGTGAAAATATGGTAAGATGAAAAGTCTCGTATCTCTGTGGACCGACCCTGCTTACTCTATACTATCTTTAGTATTAGAAATAGCAGTGATTTGAGTTATATTAATATTATTTTATCCCATCATTTGTTGGTTTGACACCCAAACAGTGCCCGAATGTTATTTTGGAGGCGGTTGTTTCAAATGACCTATGGTTTTGGCATGCATTCTTTGGTATGACCTAGTCAAATACTTGCGACATCCGACTAAAAGCGATGTCGAACAGTTGTATGTCGTACATCAAGCTAAGCATGGTTTTCCATGGATGCTTGGTAGCATTGATTGTACACATTGGGAATGGGCAAATTGTCCCAACGCGTGGCGTGGCCGGTTCACGCAAGGTGATCATGGGGTGCGGACTGTTATTTTGGAGGCAACTGTTTCAAATGACATATGGTTTTGGCATGCATTCTTTGGTATGGTCGGGTCAAACATTGACCTGAATGTGCTCCAAGCGTCTCCGATATTAACGATATTTTACAGGGTAAAGCACCAAAAATATCATATGTTATCAATGGAAATGGATACAAATATGGGTATTACCTAGGTGATGGGATATATCCAGAATACGCTACATTTACATTTCCGGCCGACGATAAACGGAAAATGTTCAAGTTAGCACAAGAATCTGCGAGGAAGGATGTAGAACGGGCGTTTGAAGTCCTCAACAAAAGTGACACATAATCAAACATCCGGCACGAACATGGGACAGAGAAAATTTGAGGACGGTGTTGACTGCTTGTGTTATTTTACATAATATGATAATAGAAAAAGAGGGTAGGGCTATTTGTTCATATATCACAAACGATATACTTAATCAACCTGCAATAATACAAATTGACATCCTGACATACTTCTCAAGGGTTTTGAAAATATAAAACCGTGAAACACATCACAATCTACGATATGATTTGACCGAATACATATGGGAAAAACAATTTTAAGGGCAAAATGACGGTGAAGATGAAGAGGATGACGATGGTGACGACGAAAAGGATGATGACAGTGATGACGAGGAGGATAACAATGGTGACGATAAGGCGGATGATGCCGGTGACGACAACGACGACAATTAGAATTTTTCTATGATTTTTTATGTTTTTTAATTTTTATTTTATTTGGACAATGTAATGTTTAATTTTAGTAATTTAAGTTTTAAATTTCTATGTTTTTAATTAATAAAATGTGGTTTTTTTTTATGTTTTAAAAAATTAATTTATGTTATAAATTATGCTTTTTAATTAATATTGTTCAAAAATTAAAAAAAAAAAAAAACCCGAAGAATTTATGGAGTGATAAATGTTTAATGGGTTGGTGGTAAATTGTGTGTGAAACTGACTTAACACGTATACGTGGCAACATTTTTTCGGTGGATGAGGGTATGGATGAGGGTATGATCACTCCCAATTGGTTGCATCGTCACACCTCGTTTTTGTAAAACAGCCTTATATTTGACTTTGACTTTCTTCGTCTCTCTCATCTAACAAAGCAAGGGTATGATCACTCCCAATTGGTTGCATCGTCACACCTCGTTTTTGTAAAACAGCCTTATATTTGACTTTGACTTTCTTCGTCTCTCTCATCTAACAAAGCAACAATTCGTTTGTTTCTTTGATCCAACTTTTGATCCCCATTCACCCGCAATATCTGCTAAACTTTATCATTCTTTGTTAATCCAACTCTTCTTTCACAATCGTAACTCGTAAGTCAACTCTTAATTTTCTTTACGCTTATGCAAAGAACGATTAAAGTTGATTTGATCTAGAAGTATGCTACTGCTATAAAAAAAAAAAAAAAAAAAAAAAGTGTCTCTGTTGTTCTACTTTATGTTATCATTCATGTATTTGGAATTTGGTTTTTAGGGTTTAGTCGATTAGATTCAGTTATGGAAATCTGGTTATTGTTGGGAATTTTGAATGGTATGAGATCGTGAGGGTTTGATGTTCAACGATTTGCGTGAAATAACTGTTGTTTTAGTAGAAAAATTGAAGGTTAAGTGTTGGATGAAAGGCGTTTAGTAGAGAATGGATAATCCTAATTATTTTGGTAATAGACATGATGAGCATCTGGGTGTGAACAAGATTGGAAAAGATATCAGGAAAAGCCCACCACCGTATTTCGCTAATCCGGCCATACAACCACCGTACCCTCAGGTCTACACCGTCAACAAAAATGATTTCCGAGATACCGTTCAACGTCTTACTGGTTCACCTTCACACCACCAAGAACCACCTCCTGGACCTCATCTCCGAATGCAAAAAGTCCGTCCACCAAGATTAGCACCTATAAACGTCTACAGGCCCCAAATGCCACTTCTCCCGCCTAGACCTGCCGCCCAATATGGCCAACCACCACCAATGACTTCCGGCGACCATATGGGGTGGGCAAACAACGCAACAGAGTCTCCTATCTCAGCTTATATGCGTTACCTTCAGCATTCTGTCTTGGATTCAGGCCAAAGACCACCACCACCACCTCTTTTTCCTTCTCCAAGAATGACCGGACCACCACCACTTCTTCCATCTCCGGTAACAAACCGCCCTCTTAATCCGCCATCACCTACTTCTCAGTTCCTTCTGTCATCACCCTCTGGTTACTTGAATCTGTTGTCTCCTCTATCACCTTACCCATTGCTTTCTCCTGGTTATCGGTTTCCAACGCCACTCACACAAGATTTTTCATTTTCACCGGTGGCGGCTCAATCAGGAATCTTTGGTCCTCGGCCACCACCTCCACCTTCGCCGGGCATGGGCTTTCCATCACCAGGGTTCTTTCAATTTTCTAGTCCCAGATGGAGGGATTAGCACCCATTGTTCCCCACGGTGTTTCTTTTGGAGAAATAGGCAAGGGTTCGGATACTGGTGGTGTGTAGCTCAGAAGTTGCAGTAAGAATGAGCTTTTTGCAGGAAAGATCGTAATGTCAGTGGTACAACCCAAAGTGTAAGGTAGATTGGATGTATAGACTCTAGGAAGTTGATTTTTGTTCATAAATGATGGATGTTTTATGTAAACTTGCACTTCCTGTTTAATATTATATATGTTTGTACACATGACATGCTTATTTCTTGGAGATATTCTACTCTAATTCTTTACATAATGTAACGAATAGCGTGGACATACGTTTTCCTAACAAAAGGAAAAGTTCATTTCAAGTTAACAGATTTTAGTTATTACAAAAACTCTACTGCGGTTTAAAACTTTTTACTATCATTTTGAATACTGTTTTTCTTTATGACACACAAACTTGAATTTGAATAACCATTGTCTCATAAACCACTCAACCCAAAATAAACATCAACGTTTCATCCAAATCAAGGTCATTTTTCAAACATCACTTGAAAAAAAATGAAAAAAAAAAAAATACTGTTAACCAAAATAGCAGGGGGGAATTAGGTATAACTAGCAGAGTCTCTATAATCCTTACTAAAACTTTAACAGTAGATGGACAAATATTTCACTAAATTTGATCGAGCAAAATGCAATCTTTTACATATTTGTTGGTAATAGCCGACTCCAGTCCGACGTGCTTCGGAACTAGCAATTACCTTTTCCGACCACCACGTTCTCTTAAAGACAGAGAAAGCATTTCGCCTCCACCAACATTGTAATACGCAAGAGACAAATTGTCCTTCAAAAACCCGGCCTTCCCGCTCAGTTTCTGTTTGTTTGCTGGCAGCTGAATGTCTCCAGCAATTTTCTCTTTCAAACTCCCAACTGTCTCCGATAATGACTGAATCGTTATCTCAAGTATTTGTCCTTTTAGATTTCCTTCATCAAGATTTGGCACCGATACAGCAATACGAATAGGTCCCTATTAAAAAAAAAAGATTTCAATAATCATATAACAGTAATACACATGACTAAATGAAGGGCAATCATGTCTTTTGTAAAAAAGAGTTTTAAAAAAGAAACGTACCGGATGTTGAGCCAAGAACTGATCCTCAGGGACAAGAAAAGAATCATCAAGCCTTTGCTTCTTCGGCTCAGGTTCTTCAGGAAGTGGAGGAGGAGCTTCCTCCGGTGGCGGCGGCGGCAGAATTCCATGAGGCATAGGCGGCGGAGGAGCCATAACCATCCCATGTTGGGTCATAAAAGGACGCGGTGGCAGTGGCGTAAACTGAGATCCCGGTGGCAGTGGCACCGGAATACTAGCCGGATTAACCGGAAGCGGCGGCCGATTCATATAACCCTGCTGACCATAACTCATTTGCATCGCGGGCGGAGGCGGCACCTGTCTTTGCGGCATAACCATCGTGGGCGGCCTCACTGGCGGTGGGACACCTGCGTACTGCACCGTACCAGGGGGGACACGAGGCATATTCAAAGCAAGCCCAGGCGGTGGAGGAAGCGGGCGAACGGAGGGAACACCAGGGCGTGGAGGAGGAGCAGCCGGACCCGGAAGATTCCGGCCATCATCAAGTAGATCATCGGCATTCTGGGACATGGCCTGAGTTGCAGTCCGGCCAATACTTCCGGTGTGTCCATCCCAAATCACTTGTTTTGGCTGCTCATCATTCTTTTTCTCAATCTCTTGTTTGACCGCGTTTGACACCTCCTCCTCGGTTGTCCCGAAAATATCCGGGCGGGTTCGGGCAAGCCCCACAATATTTTTAGAAATTTCATCATCTTGAGCAAGTGTTGTCTCCCGAATCTTTGCAAACATTCTCTCTTTTTGTTCTTTATATTTCGGATCAATAAGAGAAATTCGCATATGCTCCGACATCTCACTAACCGGAATTAGTTCTCCGGTGATCGGAGAAACCACGAATTTAGTCGGATTCCGCTCCGCCGGAATCCGATCCTCCGGCCGCTTCCAGTTCTTCACGATCCTCATCGGCGGCTCGTTTTCCTCCGCCACCACCCTCACCCTGGCGGCAAGCACCTCCTTTCCGTTTCCATTTCCATTTCCATCATCACCATTCTCTTCCAAACTTGCCGCCTGCATGCCCTCTTGAACAAGTTGTACTTCCTCTTCATCCATTTCCATTTCAACTTCCTTCCCGGGCTCCATCACCTCCTCCTCCTCCACCGCTGCTGCCATCTTGCTCCTCCTTATAACCTCCTCGAGAGTCATCGGAGGCGGCAAGTCATCATCCTCATCATCTGCAAAATCAATAGTTTCCACCACTACAAAATCATGCCAATCGATCATGGACATTAACAATCTTTCTTGCTCGATTTCATCTTCGGCTTTCTGTCTCGCCTGTTCTTGAGACTGCTCCCATTCGAGGCGGTGCAACCCCCGTTCAAGCACCGTGGTCATGTCTGCAACACTTTTTTTTAGCTTTTCCGGCAACCCTTTGGGCGGCATTAGGACTTTCGAGTAGGCATCCGCCAGTGATGTAAAGAACATAAACATACTATGAGTCGGCTTCAGAAAGTGGAACTGAGGATTGTTATTTTCACGACTCGTTAATCCTGTCAAAAAAGATTTCCCATTTCTTGCTACAAATTGGGCAGTGAGTTTGATTATATCCAATTCCTCCCCGGTGATCCCCTCCGGCAGCCGGATTGTGTACTGCTCAGCCTCCGGCGGGTCAAGAATTTTCCGAACGGGTCGAAATTTTGCCGATGGGTCGGTCTTCTCCGGTGCATCACCGTCCGCCGGAGCGGAGGACGGGGTGGTTTCCGGTGGCGGAACGTCGGATTGTACTGCCGGATTTTGATTCTGGGAACGGAATTCTGAAAGGCGATGTTGGTAGTAAGCATGATAGGGATCAGAACCATTCAAGAAATTGAATTTGGGATTTGCTGCATTGCTAATGATGATTCTTTTTTCGAATTCTGGTCCATTTTTTGCCACAAAACCGGCGGTTTTGTCCACAATCAACCGGATGTCTGGTGGTGGATGTATGATTCCGATTGTTCTGGTGTGTGTGGCGATTGATGCAGGGGCGGAATTCGACTTATTCTGGTCATCCTCAGCCTCTGGCATATGCTCATCTTGTACTTGGGATGGCGGAAGTGGGCCCAGATTGCCATCGGAGGGTGGTGCCGGGAGGGGCAAAATCGGCAATGAGCCCAACATTTGTCTCCGTTACCAAAAATATCCTTCAAAATGTTGAATAGAATCGGCACTCCACAGAATCTAGTTTCAGTAGCAATTTACCATAGTACCCTGCAATGAAAAAAAACTAGAGTTATGTACTTCCAGGAGACATTAACAACATTATGGAGATAAGAATCATGATTGTTGTTAAAGAGTTGAGGCATAGTTGGTAGCAACAATAAGTTCATCAAAACTATCAAGGCTACCTGCAACATTGTAGTCCTTTCAAAAGCTTTCTTATTATAGCAGTGAAAATTGCTTTGTATTGAGATGACTTTGCTATGCTTGGGTAGCTTTTTCAAAATACAATGTTGTAATAGGAAGAAATCATAATAGAATCCTGTAAGGCCAGAAGGGACATATCAATGATGGTATATTGATATTTCTTTCATTAAACCCAAACCATAACTAGGGTTTTGGTAAATTCTCAAAATTATATTCCCTTATTGCTAACATGTATCAGAGCAGGTCGACCTGCTGACCCATTTTGTTACAAAAGTGATATGCATTTCATATATACAAGCATAACGACAATTATAATTTCCAAGAAAACTTCAATTAAGGAGTTGGAAGAAATGTCTTTGTTCATACTATTAGATTCCATTTTCCATTTCGTATACCTAAACTTCCGTCAAGGAGATGTCGCTTGAGTTGTGAGCACGAATTTACAAAAAATTCAATAAGTTTCATCTTAGGAAACCGGAGATCACTATCCAGCATTCAACTACACAGAAACTGCTTAAAATGAAGCGCGTATACACAGAAACTAAGAATAAAATCATACAAAAAGGTAGAATACAAATGAAATTGAATATTTTTTGCAGCAAATCACAAAAACCCTAATGTTAACAAACAAACAAATTAGGCGATTAGAATCTCAATAGTTCGAGAACTTACCGTGGAACTGTTGGCGTTGCAATAGCAAGAGATGAGAGATGAACAAAAATCCAAGCAAGATTGCGTAACGATGGATGTTGCACCGTGACGCCGACGAAGGAACCAGATGAAAGGCTATCAATCGCAGGCGCGAATACAGAAAAAGAAGATCGCGAAAATAATGGTTCCCTATGCCCAATTAACCTATTTAATTTCAAATTAAAATTATGATACGGGCCTGTTTGACCCATTATGGCCCAAAGATATATACCTTCATAAGATAACCGAAAAAATAGGCTTTCATGGGAAAATAAAATAAATATCAGACTAAATTACGTGTTGGATCAGACACAGTTTGATCCATTTTTTTTTCTCCGCCATTAGTAATTGTTTCGATGTTATAAGCTTTCGTTATGCAATAACATGATCTTAACTCATCCCTTAATCATTCGTACTAGTTTCAAGAAACTCATTTTTTCTTTTTTTTCTTCTTCTACAAAGTCGAGTTTCTTAGCAATCACATTATCTCATTAAAAATATCAATAAAGCGGAAAAGCAATAAACAATTGTTGATCTCACACGTAAAGGATAGTTCTAACGACGTGGTTTATTCATAGAAGAAATATCTATACGACGTTAACATTGTGTACATGGAGTTGGAGGTAGCTCGAGGTTTGTTGTTATTGGTTTGTCATGTGGTAGTATGCATCAACTACTCACCGTCTTCCTATTTTTAATTTTGTAGATGGTTTCGATAACTTGTTTACTTTGGATATAAGGGGGTGTTTGGTTTATCTTTTGAGAGATCAAAATGATTTTTGGGAAAAGATATAAAAAATCAGGTTTTCTTGACTTTTCTAAAAAATCAATTTTCCTTATATCAAAATCTCAAAAATAGTTTTTAAAATGTATTTATCAAATATCTTTTCTCTTCTATCTTTTTCTAAAATGACTTTTTGTCTCTCAAAAGATAAGTCAAACACCCCCTTAAACATGGTAGTGTTTTCACAAGATCTCGAGGAAGAAGATACATAGACAAGATTTTGAACTTCACTGATTATGTAAACATCTATGAGTTTTCGGTTTATGAGTTGAATACAATACTATTTGAACTTAGGGAATTAGGGTATAGTCCATTACTGACTAATGAATCTATTCTTTGTAAGAGAAATTAAATATCCTCTTACATTTTATTCATACTATCATCTTATCTAGGGTGCAAACGAGCCAAGCTACTCGTGAGCTACTCGAGATCGGCTCGTTAAAAGCTCGATTCAAAACCAATTTTAAATGAGCCCGAGCCGAGCTCGAGCTTAATATTAAGCTCGTTTATTAAACGAGTTCGAGCTCGAGCCTATGTCACTAAGCTCGATTAGGCTCGTGAGCCTAAACGAGTTTTTATATAATATAATTTATTATTATATATTAAAAAATATATATTTAGGGGAACTAGGAATTTATGGTATTAATAAACAAACTTCTTAACGAGCTCAAGCCGATCTTAAGCTTATTTAGGCACATCGAACAAAAAACGAGTCGAAGCTGAGCCGAGCTTGTATAATTATTTACGAGCTCGAGCCAAGCTCGGTACAAGAAAGCTTGAATCGAGCCTCATATAACTTAAACGAGCCCGAGTCGAGCCTGACCAGGCTCGGGCTTGGCTCGGCTCGTTTGCACCCCTAATCTTATCCATATTAAATGGTAACAAGTTGACTAAAATATTATTAATTTTAATAAATGTGTCATTAAATGTGAAAACATGTCAACATTTGATAATTGATATGGTAAGAAGATAAATATAAATACAATATAGGGGGATATTTAATTTATCTCTCAGTTGTTATCTAAAACCATGTGCTCGCTTGTATTATGGTCTTGTAGCACTGGGGAATGACCAATATATTTTAGGTTTGTCAAAGTATGTTGCTAAGAAAAAAAATGAGCCTTTATATTGAAGTTGAAATGAAAAGATTGGCAATATTTTTAAGTCTCCATTTTAAGGCGATGATGGAGGAAATATATGATACTGTTTAACCTAAGTGCATAACTAAGATAAAATTTGGTTATGTAGTAGAAAACTAGTTCTATATGACAATGAAACAATGTTCTGATATCCATGGGCTCCCCCCAGGGTCTTTACCTGGACTGCCATGGGCTCCCCTATGGTCTTTACCTGGATTGCCATGGGCTCCCCCAATGGTCTGATATCCAAGTGTCATGGGCTCCCCCCATGGTCTTCTATGCAAGCATCACAGAGATAACTAGCATTCCACATAACAAGTAATGGGTCAGCATTGGTGCCTTCGACCCATGTATATAGTGAGAAGACTCACCTCGATCCACTGCAAATCAGCTAACACTTGGCTACTGAACCGGAAATCCCACACTAATAACAAATAAATTCCAATTAATAATTATACCATAATCCATTAACCGCGGTCTCAACTCATAAGTATGACTCCTAGGGTAAAAGACTGTTTTACCCTTTCCTTAGTGGGCCCATCCCAAACTTAGCCCAAGGCCCACTGATGGCCCATCAACAAAACTCAAGGCCCAATCTATACCTAAGACCAACTCAAAGTCCTGAGGCTCAACCAAAGCCCAACCAGTTAACTCATAGCCCAACGAAACAATCCAACCCAACCGAAGCCTATTCCAAGAGTCCAAGTCCAAAAAGCCTAATTCCTATATGATCAGATGTATGCACGGTGTACATGGCTTGTACGCAAGGCGTACGTCGCTGGTCTAAAACGGGCATCATTGGTAGAATGCACGGTGTTCCCCAATGGTACGCACGACATTCCCGACGGCCTCACAAAAGTCATTATAATGACTTAATCCTTTAGGCCAAACGTCCAAAACCTCATAATAGCTAAATATAAGTGACTTGATCCATAAAGTCGTAGGCTTTAAGCCTTTTCATGGCTTAATGAAGCCTAATCACCAAAGATGAACTCCAAAAGGTCAAAATCACTCCAAAAATGTCTTAAAACTTTTTAATACCTTAAGACCTCAGTCCAAACTTCCAGATCTGATTTTAGGGGACTTCTTAAGTAATAAAGTTTCCAACTTTATGACTTAGCATAACTTAATGGGACCCAAATCAAAACCCTAAGTCCCAAAACTCATCAAATGACTACCAAATCATGCATGGAAGATTTATACCCATCAAGATCTAAACTTTATGACTCCATAACCTCAACAATGACCAAATATGAAGCTTAAGGGTTCTGGAGTAACTTCTACTCACAAGAATCACCTCAAAGGGACCAAAACCATATCAAAACACCACTTAGCTATATTTACATGAATGGGTTATCAAGGTTGAGACTTTATACCTCTAGAAGATAGATCTAGGTGCACAAAGCCAGGATCCAAAAGCTCCAAGTCAAGTAATGACTCTTCAACAAGTTCCTTATTCCTCCTCAAGAACCAAAAATACTCATAAATCACTTTGAAGCTCAAGAATCACTCAAATGGAGGCTAGGGTTTCGCTTTTAGGGTTAGAGAGGATAGAGGATGAAGGAAATGAGGGTTGGTAGTGAGTTTAAGTGTTCGTGATTTGTTATCATCAATGTTATTTAAGTGTAATGGGATTACTTTGTTGACAAAAAGTGATCTTGATAAATATTAAACAAGTAAGGAATGTGTGAAGTACACACTTGTTTAAGTTTGATCAAGTTTCAAAGTACACTGTCATTTAGGGGCAAAGCCCCTGAACGAACAGGGGTTCGAGGCAGCGCCCCTGGGAGCGGGGTCCAAGGGGTGGCAGCCCCTAGCGGGGTCCAATGGGCAGAGCCCCTAACACATCAGAAAATTGGTTTTTTCAGATAATTAACCATTGGTTTGACCCTTATCCATATATCTGTTTTTTTGACAGCTTTTATGGTTTGTTGACAGTTTAAAACTGTCATATGACAGTTTTCAAACAAATATCTTAAAGTTGGTTTTGGTCTTATTTTTGGTACAGACGAAAATATCATTAAACATTCTCTGTTCTTGTCTTTCTGAGTCTTATCTTATTGAGGATTTAGGAGTACCACCCAAATACTTCTATTTGAAAGTGATAATCACAATTCTCAAAATTTTAAAGCCAAATATAC